TGGAAAACCCAAATCGGGAAAAATAACACCACGGGCGGAGGAGACCACCGAGAAATTCACTATCAATAATCGAATACAATTTTGATGCATTTAAAAAGAGAAAATTTCAACCATATATATAGGTGTGTGGTTGTGAAAAAAAAACTAATTCAATTTGTAAAGCCACAAAATATGGTAATGATTTTGCTTTCCAAAAAACATAGCTTCCTCAAAACATACCATGTTTAGTGGTAAAATCTCTTTGACTTTGGAGACAAAGAACAACACGATGACAGATTTGGGACCACTCTCATTTTCTGGGAATCGAGATCCATTGATCTAAGGGTACTCTCTTTCTCAATCAAAGGAGATATGCTGAAACGCTTCTTAAACGTGCCAAAATGAGCACTTGTAAACCCGTTAACACGCCAGTTGATACCAAGGCCAAACCCAGCATCAATGATGGTCTCCTCCTCTCAGACCCTACCTTTATAGTCTTGCTGTTGGTCTATAATACATGACATTTACAAGACCCGATATTAGTTACGTCGTTCAACAAATTTGCTTGTTCATGCATGCTCCTCGAGACTCTCATATGACTGCCATGAAACGTATTTTTCGCTACATTTGAGGTACCCTTGAGCATGGGTTACAATTTTTCTTCCTCTCCCACTACCGGCTTGGTAGTCTCTTCAGACACAGATTGGGGTGGGTGTCCAGATACCCGCCACTCCACTTCAGGTTATTGCGTTTACTTAGGAAATAACTTTCTTTCTTGGTCATCTAAACGACAACCCACTCTCTCCCCTCACCAGTGCCGAGGTTGAGTATTGCAGAGTGGCCAATGTTGTTGCTGAAACTTCATGGCTTCAGACTTTGCTGCTAGAGTTACATTTGTCCTGTTCGAAAAGCCACGATCATCTATCGTGATAATGTTAGTGTCGTGTACTTCTAATCCGATACAACACCATCGCACTAAAATGTTGCATTTATTTTAGGACAAATGAAGTCCTGGACTAAAATGCTAATAACATCTCCAACATATCCTCTATAATTTCTTCAAAATGGAGAAGTAAAAGCTAAAATCTCCAGAAAAAAAAAATTGCATTCAACTCCAATAGTTTCTTCCTTTTGAAGATTTCAACATTAATTATATTATTAAAATATCAATAAATTCAGTATCCCAACTTTTGAAACTTTTATACGAAATGATAATACATCAACTTCATTAGCAGGAACAACAAAAAACTATTTCCCTCTCTTCAACATTTAGTTCTAGAGAGTTCTTCGGATTTGGATATTTATATCCCCACTCTCTCTTATACTTTCTCCATTTTGGAGAAAATTTGGATGATCTGTTGGAGCAAAAGAAAAGCTCCATTTTGGTGGATCTCCCAAATGTTTACTGGGTAAGCGATTACCAACAAGAGTCTCTTGCCCGATAAGCCCTAACCGGATAAGAGTCTTCTTCTTCACTTACAGGGTAAGAACCTCGGTTGTTGCCACCTCTTATCGATTATAATTCTCGGTCCTTACCATGCTTACTAGATAAGTTAAATGACTTGGTAGCGCTTGGTAAACGGTCTCTAAGCTATTAGTCCAATTTTTTGCTACAGAATAGGACCACCTCTTGACCTTCTCCTTCCCCCTCTTCAAACTCCGATTCGTCTTTTCCTTCACTTGCATTACATCGATGTGGATTGCCTCGCGAAATAGCAATAGAACTTTTCCAGGCACTTGTACCTACCAAATAAAAGGCCTGTACAGGAAGACCATCTAATTCTCCGGAAAAGATTAATTGAAAGCCTCTAATTGTTTCTGCTAAACCAACATATTAGAGGCACGTAAACATCCTTGAAACAATGTTCTTTGATTTCCTTGGCTTCTTTTTCAGGTCTCGGATTCATAACCTCGATAACGTTCATCTTTTTAGTTGGCGTTTTCATGTCGTCATGGTTGGGAACTTCTCTTCTCAGTTTGGGCGAGTTTATAATAAAGAAGATGCCGCTCATGAGCTACATTTACACCGCCTCCAAACAAATCAGTGCAGCCATCTCACCAGGTAAGTTCTTACCCAAAATTCAATCCAAAATATAGTCAAAATAACTCCTATTCATGCTCTTTTAGGCCAAGGTTCGCATGCTTTTAAGGAAGTTGCGATCATAAAGCATCCAAGCGTTGGTGAATACGCTTTTGGATTCATAACGTCAACTGTTATCCTTCAGAAAGCCACAGGTACCGAAGAGCTATGCTGCGTGTATGTGCCAACCAACCATCTTTATCTCGGTGATATGGTCCTTGTGAACTCGAAAGATATTATGAAGCCAAATATCTCCGTTCGAGAAGGAATAGGTAAGGGACTCAATTCATGAAAAATAAAGTTTTTTCACTACAATAACATCGGCTTCATAGGACGCGATATGTCTTCATTGACTGCTTTATAGGTTTATTTTACAAGACCAAACAATTGTGCATCCTAATTAAAGGTGTTACAATAAGTTGATAAAACGTTTTTGGCATACTAACAAGTTTTTTAGAACTTGTTTGAAGTACAGGGTTCTACATGACACTTTTAAGAAGCGTTAGAACACTTTTTTATAAGACATTTTTCAAATATTATCCTATTAACCTACTAATAGAACGATTTATTTCAATAGTCCTAAAAACTTGTTAGGACGTCCAAAAGCATTCTACCAACTTATTGCAGTACCCTTTACATAGGACCGCAATTTTTTGGTCCTATAAATCAATCTATTATGATATTTAGACATATTTGACATCCTATAAAACTGATTTTCTTGTAGTGTGTATATCGATCAGGGTAAGCAAAACAAGAAACTACCTTAGTTTAAGATGTCACGATTTAGTTTCTATCCCAAGGTCTGAGCTTCATTTAACAGTTGAGCTGACCCTCAAATAAAACATTGTTTTCTTGCAAATGACTACACTGATAAATGAAATTTCCCCTTTTTGGTATTATACAGAGATTATAATCTCGGGAGGCATGTCGATACCAAAGATTTTAACAACAAACGACTCGCAACACCTTCGATCTCCACGAATTGGGAAGTTTGTTGTTCCACATGTATGATACAAATGTAAGCTATCAAGTTTGATTCAAACTAGTTTTCTTTATGAAGTATATAATATTTATATACTGTAAATTAGATTTATGCACACTTCTCGCATTTTTGTAAAACTTGAATCCCCGACCTGAAAGGTGGAGTTACCGGCTACTGTCGGGCCAATCACCCTTTGGTTTGATTCTAAGTAATTAGTCTAGCATTCAAGTTGCCTGTATTGTATGCTTAGAGATGTTGCTGATGTGGACAACTGCAATCAAAGTACAGGTATATATATATATTGTATATAATGGTATGAAATCCTTGATTTAGAAGTATATATGATTAACATGATTAAAGACATGTTATGTTATGAATGTAATGATCCAGTTTCAAAGGTAGATTATATGTATTTTAACCAAACAAATGAATTTTGATTCAGTTTGGTTTCATTCTGTTTAGTACTTATCCTAATTCTCTTTCTGGGATGTTTACAAAATAATAATGTAATTAAACGTATTCAATATATCTAACTCGAAAACGGAGATGGACAAATGTCACTTATAATTGGTTCTGGCCAAAGAACGTTAGTATGCAATCGGTTATGGAATAACTGGTTCCTAGACTGAGATATGTAACTGATTTAACCGGTCATTAAAGGCCCGTTCACTTTGACGGTATGGGTTTTCTTAAGTTTCAATAACATGAGACATTTTTTAAGAAATTATAATAAAGCTTGTGTTACATATATTAATCTTTATACATAAATTTTGTGTCACAATAATTTAATAAATGTGCTAAAACCCTCATTTTCAAACATTAATTTCTGTAACTAAAGGGCCGTTTACCAAACGTTACGGGTAAGTGAACACCAAGTCATTTTACCTTATCGGATTAATATGGTAAGGATCAATAATCTTATCCGGTAAGAGTGAGACAAAGACTAAGAGTCTTACCCGGTAAGTGAAGGTGGAGACTCTTATCATGGTAAGCGCTTACCGGGTAAATTGTTGCATACGATACTGTTTTGGTGGACTAAAATCTTATCCGATAAGTAAATGATAGTGTTAAATTTACCGGTAAACTCTTACCGGATAAGTGTTTGGTAAATGACCCATTTACCTCAAATGCCAAGGGTCTTTTTTACGGTGCCAAATTTTATTATAAGCGTTAAATAAACTCCGAAATACGTTATAAACTTTCTTTTAATTTGGTGTTGTGCAAAGGTGGGGTCTTTTCCCGTTAGACGCATATAAGTATTACTAATGGCTAATGAGAAATCACGATAAAATTTTTTTAAGTATATAATATTTATATACGGTAAATGCAATAAATAAACTCATACACCCTCCTCACCTATAGTGAGGTTTGAACCCCTGACCTCCTAGAAGGCCAAGGGCTACGATACCGCTAGGCCAAAGGCCATTTGGTTAAATCATGATAATATTATTGGCCAATGAGAGAGCACCACATCATATACAAATTTAAAAAAATGCGTTGTATCGTACAGAGGAGGTTTCTAACTAAGTTGTTTACTAAATTTTTCATTAAGTTTTGAATGGATAAATTTGTTTGTCTAAATAAAAATTTGTTGTTGTTTATTTTTATAACTGAATTAACCGTCTGAAAGATAGAAATAATCGTTTTACCTTCAATTCATCAGATAAACTTCAATAAAAAAAATCTGTGAAATCAGGAACAATCTGCACCATAAACAATCAATGAACAATCTAAACTTGAAAGATGAGGGTTATGATGGAAAAACGAATAGAGAACACAGATGTAAAGAGGGTTTTGAAATCGAAAACGAAATCTGGAACAGAAAAGTAGAGAACAGATAATAGATAACAAATATTACTATTAACTTCAAACGAAACTTGGAATGAAATCGAAAACGAAATCTGGAATAGACAACAATAAACAAAAATTATCAGAAACTTCAAAGAAAATCGAAAATGAAAACGAAATTGGAAACAAAATCAAAATCAAAATCAAAATAAAAAACGAACCTTAGAAGCTTAAAAAAAATTGGAATGAAATCGAAAATGAAATCGAGTTTTTCAATCGAGGAAGGAGATGCAGTGGTGATTCGAGTTATTGAATCTTGGAAGGAGATGCAATTCTTGAATCAAGTTCTTGAATTAAAAACGAACACGAAATCAAAAAATCGAAAACAAAATTGAGCTCTTGAAAAGGAGACGCACTTCTTGAATGGAAAAAGAAAACAGAATCAAAAAGCGAAATCTGAGATGGGATCTAAAAGGAGACATACACAATGAAGGAGACGTGAAGGGGTAGGGTTGTCATTTTTTTGACTGAACTTGGACAAGAGCCCTTTCCCATTTATGCAAATAAACCCTAAGTAAACACCACATTTTGGCTGAGTGAATAAGCCTCTTAACCCATTAAGCTCATTAAGTCATAAGTAAACACCCCCTAAGGTTGTTTATCAGACGCTTATTTAGTAAATATTTATTGGGTTACTTATCTTACCGGATGAACATGATAAGAATCGAGATTTTTATCCAGTTAACATTTATCGGATAAATTGTTGCATACATACGATATTGTTTGAATAGACTAGAATCTTACTGAGTAAGGTAGTCAGTGAGAATGGTGACTCTTATTAGTTATCAATAAACGCTTATTGGATAAACATTTCGGTAAATGACCCCTAGGTTGTGAAATCATAATAGTTTATATAATATTTTATAATTACAATGATGCAAAATTAATATCGTTTCTTGAACGAATAAAAATCTTTTGTTCTAATTTTTATATTTCATTCTTGTCCACTGATCATATCAATACATATCTTTAAATATATAATATAAACTTCAATTAAATAAATTTAAATATATATAAAAATCTGACTTGTCTTAATTTCATTGATAAAACAAGAATGAACGAATGCAGATTTTTATCCACAAAAGACCTACGTGATACTTCTAATAAGGTGTTGTTTACCCAGTAAGTGCTTACCTATAAGAGTCAACACTATAATTTACCTTGATACGTAAGATTTTAGTACATCAAAACGTATTGAATGGTTAAGAGTCGTCATCTTCACTTACCGGATAAGACTCTACATTATTCTCATTGCTCTTACCCGGTAAGATTCTTGGCCCTTGTCATGTTCATTCGAAGAGGAAATTTATCTGGTAAGCACTTATCAAGCAAGCGTTTAGTAAACGACCCCTAAATATACAATGAATCATTAAGTTCAAAGTTATCATTCGATACGGTTAATCACTCAAAGTAGTTGAACGAATACAGAATTAAATTTTATTCCACAAAATATGGTACAAAATATTTTGAATATATACGTATATTACTTCATTTTCATTTTTTTACAACAAAAAAAGTCAAAAGTGTATACAAACATTGTAAATGCAAATACATACCAACATCACGCTTATTTGAAAAGTAAGAGTCGATCTACTTATCATGCGTTATATCAGATATCGAATGGGATATATCAGATACGCTTACTTTACTATTTTAATCTCTCTTTGATCCTTTTGACGAATGATCTCCCCAATAACTTTAACATATTCTCTCGTAAACCTTAGATTAATGTCTTGTGGCACATGACTGTATACGTAGCTTTCTTAATTTCTTTGAAACGTACAAGACGTGCATTGCTCGAGGGGAACTAATGGGTTCGACCTGTACTCATGTGTGTTCCCGACTAGTTGCTTGTGAACTCTTGGCTCGAGTTTACCATCTCCTTGAACTTCCTCATGTCGTCGTTATAAGCCTTGGTGTCGTAAATGATGGAAGTTGGCGTGTCTTGGCTTTGGTTCAAGTTTGACATGGAACCTGATCGTTGTGGTTTCAAGATATCATCTAGCGATCCACTGCCTTCCAATGCTCGTACGATCTGATACGTTTAAAATAAAAATAATAAAAATTATTAACGTTATATTATATAATTCTATAGCAAAATCAATTCACTTGAGACAAAAAAATCATATTTTAATAGGGATTAACAATCCATCTATTTTAATTTTAATCCAACATAGCCACAAGGGTGGTGCATGATTGGTTTGAGCTTGAATCCAAAGGTCAAAAGTACCAGAAGGTCCCAAGTTCAAATCCAAGAAGGAATAAAAATCCCCTTGTGGCCGCGGAGATTCAAATGCAGTGACTCCGGGCTATCTGCAAAGCAGGTGGTCGTCCTGGGATTAGTCGGCTAACATAGCGAGTTGGATATCCAGGTTAATCCAAAAAAAAATTAATTCAACATAACCACGACATTTATATTCTGCCAAAACTAAATCCACAGTTATAGGGGTGACTATATTCAAATCTGTTCCATCTATTTTTTATTCCTTTGGAATCTCTCTTAAACCTCCGCTTTTTTGTTAGCCTCCATTAAAAGGCATGTTGGAGTCCCATATCAGCTAGACACGGTTGATAAAACCTATATATATATATATATATATATATATATGTATATATGTGTGTGTGTGTGTGTGGCGGTTCAAACGAGAAGGCAGTCAACTTGCGAGAAATGAGAGAACGATCAAATCACATGTGATTCTATAGTAAATCACATGATTTACAACTCGACCGGCCATTGCACGACCGAGTTTCACGTGACCTTGGCCGCTTTGACCGGCCGTTGCACATCCGAGTTTCATGTGACCTTTGTTGTGTTGAGTGTTTGCCCATGTACTTTTGTAGGTGTTGTAAATCACATGTGATTTGACCGTTCTAGTAGGTTGTCGCCTTCTCATTTGATTTCCTCCCCCCCCCCTCTTTATATATACACATCTATGTATCTATATGTGTGTGTAAGATCCTTCTCCTCTCTACAAATACTCTTTAAGGAAGAGATTAAAAGGGGTTTACTTATCCTAACTCACCCATTTACCAACCTTGCAATATTCTACTGATGTCTTTGTCTTTGTGAACAGACTGAACCCGTGTGGGTTCATCCATTACATCTCTCCTAGACCGGTGTGAACAATGAACTTACCTGGCTCATCTTGGGGCGCTGTTTACTAGAATGACGAATGCTTGCTGCAGCACAACAAGCCATACGAGCCACCTCGTTTGGTTCATAGTTGCCTTCTAACCGTGGATCAACAAGCTCGTTGTAGTTTTGATCTTCCAACGCCTTGGCAAGTAATGGCCCTGCCTAATTATTCACCACAGAATTCATTACATTCGTTTAAAGAAATCATCATCGACGCTAGAAAACCGAAAATGGCAAAAAGATCAGAACCAACCCATTCCACCAAGCTATCTTCCATTTGGTTACTGGTAGGATCGATTGGTTTCCTCCCGGTCAAGAGTTCCAGCAACATCACCCCGAATGAGAATACATCAGACTTCTCTGTTAGCTTTCCACTCGAAGCATACTCTGGAGCTAAGTACCTATAAGTGGGACCCACAAAATAAGGATGACAAACGTGCACGTAAATCCGATCATTGTAAATTTACCCGAAAGTTCCCATAACGCGAGTTGAGATATGAGTGTCTTCCCCAGATGATAGTTTAGCCAATCCGAAATCAGCCACCTGAATTCGTATCATTTATGATATAACCAAAAGGCCTTCAAGCAACTTTAAGCACTACAAGAACATCGGTTTTATAGGATGCCAAAAATGTCTAAATGAAATGGTAATCTATTTTATAGGACTTGAGTTTATAGGACGTATTTGGGCATCCTAACAAGTTTTTTTAGGACACTTTCAAAATAAAGTTTCCTATTAGCTTTTTTATACGACACTTTGTGAAGTATTATAAGGTTTAATGGCGGGGACCTCATGGCCCCGTGGTCCACATTTTGTGAACCCTACTTGCCATACCTCATAAGCAAGCACCGGAAAAGACAACCTGTCCTCCCCTGGAATCGAACCCGGGTGGGCACGCCCAAGGCAAGGCATTTACGGAAGGAGGTGGCCACTAGGCCAAGGCCTAATGGTTCTGTGAAGTATTATAAAGCATCTTTTTACAGAAAATTTGTTATATACATGACATTTTTTCAGATAATGCCATTTAAACAAACTAATAGGACGCTCTATTTCAAAAAAATTAGGACACTCATGTCGACTTATTGTAAGACATTTACATAGCATGCACAATTGTTTGGTCCTAAAAACTTAAGTTCTATTGAACAATTTATCAAGACTATTAGACATTTTTGCATCATACAGAGCCAATTTTGTTTTAGCGAAATGAGTTTCTATAGTTATTACTTTTGCTTCAAAGTTGTGGTCAAGGAGAATGTTGGAAGATTTGATATCACGATGGATGATCCGAGGATGGCCTGCAAGTTTCCAAGAGATGTTTAGCAGTCGTGGTTATGTTATGTTTGCAGGTCAAAAGGGATAGGAAGGGAAAGAGCCATACAATCTTCGTGTAGGTATGCTAGTCCTTTGGCTGATCCTAGCGCGATACGGACCCTAGTTTCCCAGTTCATGACAGGAAAACCCTTTCCTGCAAATCTAAGTTTGTTACCATTTTTACATGGTGAAAGTTAATTTACATTGGGGTCAAAATTGTGAGAATATGTGGAACCCCAGATAATCCCCAAAAGAGCCCTTGAGAAGAGGAGTGTTCCAACATATACTAAGGAGAAATGGTTCAAGTCTAGCCAATATGAAACTCTAACATACTATCCCAGAATGTTGGAAGAGGACTAGACAGGTATAGATTGTCCCAGACTGTCGAGAGAGGGCTAGAAGGGAATGTTGGAAGGGGACTAAACGGGTACAGATTGCCCCATGAGTTTAGATCCCCTAGAGTGATAGACCTTGGATCCAATACCATGTGAGAATATGTGGAACGCCATATTAATCCTCAAAAATCCCTTGAGAAGAGAAGGGTGGTTCCAACATGTATCGAGGAGAAATGGTCCAAGTTTAGTTGATGTGGACTCTAACATGCTCCCTCCAATGGAGGCTAGATAGGCATGGATTGTCACTCTAGAGAAGGCGAGAGGGGACTCTAAGTCTAGCCGACGTGGGACTCTAACAGAAATAATTAGGGAAAAAAACTCACCATGAAGATGGAAGTCTAAGGCCTTATTAGGAACATACTCGTAGACAAGCATTCTCTGTGCATCGGCAATACAGTATCCAACAAGTGACACCAAATGGCGATGGTGTACTCTACTAATGATCTCAACTTCTGCTTGAAACTCTCGTTCTCCTTGATTACTGCCTGATTTCAAGCTCTTCACAGCTACTTCCCGCCCATCAGGCAAAACCCCTTTATGCACGTACCCAAACCCACCCTGTCCCAACAGGTTCGACTGTGAGAACCCATCAGTGGCCGCTGATAGCTCATTATATGAGAAATGGCTCTTGCTGAATGCAAGAGGCATGTTCGGCGGCGGCACTGCCGAGGCTGAAAGGTTGCCGGTCGTTTTAGACCATGGTGAGGTTGCCCATCTGCCACCGGCACCCACCGGAGTACCCATCATCCCTGGTGTTTTGAATTTGATCAAATGCTCGTGAGGTGGACCTGCCCATTGATTTTTGTAGTAGTCTCCACCTCCAGCTGCACCTACAAAAAGCAAAAAAAAAACTATTTATGAAGTTACTGTTTGGAGGGTAGGGAAGAAATAGTTGTCAAGTTCGAAACCTGGGGCTGATTTCATATAGTAAGCCTCCGCTTTCTGCTTCTTCCTCTTCCTCCTACCGCACGTAACACAAATGGTGACAAAAGCAAGAAACACAAAACCAGCCAAAACCAAGCCAATAATAATCGCTTCAGTAGTTGTATTAGTAGATGAGCCACCAGTGGATCTATGAGGCGTTTTGTGGCTATGAGATTTATGCAACTTGCTGGTGGGAGGTGGTGGAGATTGGTGGCGTGCAGCATTGTTTGATGAAGGAACAAATGCACGGGTAGAGGTAGATGGCGGGGTCTGGGATCGTGGAGTTGATCCTTTGTTTGATGAGAATGGAGATGGTGGGGAAGATCCTGCACCATAATCTTTTTGTGGTGGCAAGGAGCGAGGAGGAGGGGAACGTGGTGGTGGTGAGGAGGGAGGAGGTGAACGTGGTGGTGGTGAGGAGGAGGGAGGTGGAGGGGAACGTGGTGGTGGTGAGGAGGAGGGAGGCGGAGGGGAAAGTGGTGGTGGTGAGGAGGAGGAGGGAGGCGGAGGGGAACGTGGTGGTGGTGAGGAGGAAGACGGAGGAGGTGGGGAACGTGGCGGACCTCGTGGTGGCGAAGAACCAAAAGGTGGTGGTCGAGATGACTTTGGAGTGGGAGCAGTTTGAGGGGCCGGAGCCATGTATCCAATGAACTTTTTCAGGACATAAATATTTTAACTAAAAGACGCTCCATCCAAAACATCAAACCTTCACCTATAACTTCTCATTACAACAATAGGCTGCCCTGCAACAAACATTTAGATTTTTTCTTGATTACAAATACAAAATTATGATTCATCTGTAGCATTTTAACCCTTTGTGCTTAAAAAGAGATGATGATCAAGTTCCAAATCTATATTTCAACATGAAACTATAAATAGAAAAAGCAGCAGGAAAACCAAACAAGTTTCAAGAAATGCATGCAATTCTAAATTTTTGGAAATGGGTGATCCCAGTCTTCACCCAAACTAATCCCATGGAAAGTCACGACTATAGGCTTTGCCCACAGCCCTGAGGTAAATCTCCCGATGGCCACAAGCGCATAGTAGATAGCAGGATTGGAACCCAGGTTGATTTTATCATCCCGTTGACTTTATCCACCACGCTACCACCCTTGTGGTTGCAATTCTAAAATTTAAACACAGAAGGACATACTTACAATATGGGATAATCCACTTCGTAAATTCTTAGTTTATTTGTCATGGAGATTCGCCAAGGATTAATCATAGACTTTCTCCGGATTGAACTTGTGTTATGATTCAATAATTTGCAGGATCGTAAAGCATTGTTAATTGTTTCAGAGAGAGAAGTGTGGTACCTGATTGAAGATGGAAAAGACTCAACAAAGAGAAGAGACGTGTAAGTGTAGCATTGCTTTTCCCAATTTAGAAATGTCACCAAGTCTTCTCCCTGTTACAGTCCTACAAAGATGGAGACCTTTTCTCTCTCTCTCTCTACAAGCCGAGTTGTGCTATTCTCGGCCAATGGTATCTTGTTAGTTGGAACATCACCTGCTGTTTTCCTACATTTTGGGTTCTTTCAAAGCTTTCATATTTGTCATCTAAAACGATACAAATTGAATTTCTTCAAAAACAAAAAGAATAAGAATGCAGGGTTACAAGGTTACTTGTGAGAGAATATGTTGAACCCTCAGATTTACTCTCCAAAAGAGCCTTGAGGAGAGAAGGAAGGTTCCAACTTCCAAGATATATATATATATATATATATATATATTAGAGAAATGGTCCAAGTCTAGCCAACGTGAGACTCTAACAAGAAGAAAAAATGGGAATAAACCGGATTTTTAATCCACCTGATAACATGGCTCAGAGCGACGGAGTTGAGAGACGAGGGAACAAAGGCGGGCACACCTAACCGTTATTTGCAGGATTATTCATATTCTCTATCATGAGCTTTGCAAAGGAGAAAACCATTGCAAGAACTTCTGTTGAAGCATAGAGAAGGGTCAGGAATTCCATAGGCAGATTTGTTTGAGTGAGATGAAATTGATACAATTAGAAATAACTAAGAATGGGGCAAACAAACAAAGAATAACATGAAGTAATACCAATTCAAGACTATCAGAACTAACATGAAGTATCGAAAGACGGTTCTTCTTTCAAACTATAAATAAGGTTTCTCCATCAGTTGCGAGACTCTAATCACTTCATAAATCGAAGATTAAAACCACTGGCCTTGACCAATTGGGGCTCATTCAACATTATGACACTATGTAAAGTAATAAATCAAAAAGAAACCCGCTTGAACATTCAACGTGGTAATCCAAGAACTAAAATGCACAAAACATAAAGACAAAAGAGAATTCTAAGTATTTTTGTGTTAAGTTATCAGATCAAGTGCATCAAACTCTTTAGGAGGAGACCGGAGAGTCATGAAACCATTGATGAATGATCCTGAAACACCTACCTTACCAGAATGACGTTAATAATAACCATACCATAAGATCCAGGTAACCAACCTGTCAAGCTGTCATGAGAATCTTAACCTATTGCCTGAAACTATCAGCTTCCATCTTCAGATCTTCTTAATGACTCACATAAGCATTGAAATGATCAATTCGGATGGTTCATTATCCACCGAGGTTCCTCTTTGTCCGCCATTGCTTAAACCAATCAAGCATTCATAACAAGATTAGTTGGTTAAATAATCAACTTGCATAAATAAGCTGACAAGAAACAAAAAATTTATATCCAAACAGAATAACCGCGCACGGAATGTTCTAGAAAAAACTGAAAGAAGATCAGTCACTAAAGAGAAGCTTCGTAAACAAAATAAATCAAAAATCACTTTCCACCAAATTTAATGCTAATATGCTATGATAATTACATTCCTCACACATAAATATGTGCGAGACTCAAATCGGAGATCAAAATTCTACAGCAACTAAGCTTGAATTCAACCATATTCAACACTATGACAGTCCAAAAAGTAATAAATCAAAAGAAAATCGCTTGAACATACATACATGAATGTGTTCCGAAGATCAACTCACCGGATTAAACTGCGAAAAACCCTAGAAAACGTGAGAGAAGTCGGTAAATTGAAGACGGAGAAGAGCCTGAGTCCCGTTTGCGGGAAGTTTGTAACTTCGAGCGCGCGAGTTTCCCCCCGATTACGGTGAAGGGGATGTTTGGTTCGATCCAATTTTGTATTACTTTTTTGGTAAATCTAATTTCATTTCTAGAACAAAATAACTAGATTTTAAAAAAGAAAATTCTAAAAAAATCCAACTAAAATTTTGTGTTTAGAATGATTAAGTTTTTGAACAATTTTTTGAAACAATAAGTCTTTGGACATTTTAAAATTTGTTAAATAACTTTTTGGACTTTTAAAAATATGTTAGATACATCTTTATAACCTATAAATTTGGTAAATGTGATAAAATAATAGAAAAAGTCTGAAAAAAAAACAATGGAATTTCATATTTTAAACGATTAAGTTTATAAATATTTTTTAACAAAAAAATACTTACATCTATAAAATAAAACAAATATATTAAAAAGGTAATTACATATAAAAAAATTTAT